GGCCCCGGCCGGCTCCGCGGGGCGCGACGTGGCGGCCGCGGCGGGCGGCCCGCTGCACACGCCCTTGATCCCTCCCGTCTCCTCCCCTTCTCCTGCGAGCCGCGGTGAGCGAGCCCCGTGAGGCGGCCGGGAGCCCGCGCCGCCTCCCCGCAGCGCGATGACTTCGGAAAGCGGCTCCTTCGTGAAGGGGCTGGTGCTGGGCGGCCTCTTCTGCGCCCTGGTGACGCTGCTGGGGCACGTGCGGCTGGGCGCCGGCCCGCGGCCCCACGAGCACCACCACCTGCAGGCGCCCAACAGGGAGGACGTGCTGAACCTGTCGGAGGGCGAGCGCGCCCAGCTCGGCCGCACCCTGCGCGTCTACTGCCTCATCCTGGTGCGGCCCAAGGACCTGGGACACTGGGCGGCCGTGAAGGAGACGTGGAGCAAGCACTGCGACCAGGCCGACTTCTTCAGCTCCGAGAAGGTGAAGGTGTTCGACTCCATCGTCCTCGACGCCAACGACATGTGGCTGATGATGAGGAAAGCTTATAAAATAACTTACGAGCGCTATAAAAATGAGTTCAACTGGTTCTTCCTTGCGCACCCAACAACATTTGCCATTATTGAAAATCTCAAGTATTTCTTGCTGAAAAAAGACCCCTCACAGCCCTTTTATATAGGTCACACCGTGAAGTCTGGTGACCTTGAGTACGTGGATGGCGATGGAGGAATCGTCCTAAGCATCGAATCACTGAGACGGCTTTCCACCGTTTTTGAGGACACCGACAAGTGCCCAGAGCAGGGCGGTATGATCTGGAAACTTTCCGAGGACAAGCAGCTCGCCGTCTGCCTCAAGTACATGGGAGTGTTTGCCGAAAACGCGGAGGACTCGGAAGGAAAGGACGTCTTCAACACCAAGTCGGTGGGCGCGCTCATCAAGGAGGCCATGGCCAGCCAGCCGCAGCAGGTGGTCGAGGGCTGCTGCTCGGACATGGCCGTCACCTTCAGCGGCCTGGCCCCCAACCACATGCACGTCATGATGTACGGCGTGTACCGCCTGCGGCCCTACGGCCACACGTACAATGACGCGCTCGTCTTCCTGCCGCCTCCGGGCTCGGACAACGACTGAGGCTCCCCGCAAAGACTTTGCCATGAAGGGCAGCCCTTCTTGGGACGTGCAGCGGGACAGACCGTCGTGTTTTGTATCATGGTACTGGTGAACACTTTTGCACAGTGGTTTGGTAAAGCTTTTCATTTTAAAAGCGGAAAGGAGAACTTTTTTCTAAGTCTTTTATACAGAAATGTTTCTGGCTTTTGACGGTGCTGGACTGAAACGATGAAGGAGGTGTTAATGTTTGTGATAAAGGAAATTAAATTTATAGGGGGGGTGTTTGTATATGTAAATATTTATTAATGAAAACTCAACCAGAGCTTAGTCTACTGTTACAGATATATTTTTGCAAAGTTTTCCTCCTTTGGATTCTTTCAGTCTTTATATCTTTCTAAACTGTACCAATAAAACTGACTACAGATTTGTTATCAGGCATTTACTTTAAGCTATTTCCATTGCTTTAAGGTAAATATTCTTCACAAAGAATAGCCTCGTGTTCTTAAGAATTGAATAGCAGCAAAAGAATTAACTTAGTATGCACTACATCATATCTGCTCACAGGGGGACCACAACCAAGGGCACATAGAGATAGGAAATTTTATCTAGCTATATAGCATATATATAGTTTTAAGAAAGTATATCAAGCGCCATTTACTGCAACCCAGACATCCCAGTTTTAGTTGTAAAATCAAGCTATGCAACCTGTTCAGGGAGCATGATGAGAAGCCATTTCATCTTCTTCCCCTTAGGCACTGAAACCTACAGTGCTGAAATTGTGGCTTGTCCAACATTACTTGATGCTGTCTTAACACGCAATTAAAAAAGGTTCCCTCTCTGAAATGCTTTAAGCTTACAACCTGCCCTCAAAAAAAAAAAAAAAAGCACTAGTGCTAATATGCTTCTATTTATCTGTAAGTGAAGGAGGGAGAAGTACTTATATTGAGAGGAAAAAAACTGTGTCTACTGATGGAAAAATTTCTCAAGAAAAATCTCATGGCCTCGTCTCTACACTCTGTAGTTTGAGCTACACTGTGCGCAGGCTCCTCTCACCTTATGTGCAATTTTTAACGAAAGAGCAGGAAGCAAGCAGGGTTCTAGAACAACCCTAACAGACTTTCTAAAGTGACCTTTGGACTTTCATTCTTAAGTGGCCAAAAGAAAGATAAACAAAATCAAATTAACATTAACAGGGCTAGATAGCCTGTTAACACAGGAGTAGTTGTTCATCGTAAGTTATGCTTGATATAAAAGCATATTACAATTAAGGTCTATTAGATTTTTCTCATGCTAGTGGTGCTGGTAGTACTACAAGGAAGAAGCTGATAAGCTGCCAATGCAAGTGTAGAATACAGATGTATTTACAGATATTTTCAACACCAAGAAGCAACGTACGCTTGCACTCTCAGCCTTTCTTTTCAAGTGATTCAAAACAGATTCAAAACACAAGAAAGCAACAGGGAAAACTCTAGACTTTTTTTTTTTTCCCCTAAGGAAGTAAATGCATTGGAAATTGCAATGAAAGTTTTCGATAAGTTACCACTGTAAGTGGCAATGAACAACACATCAATTACTCCATTCAAAATTCAGCTAGATAAGCTAGACATTTCAAAATTTAACTACAGTCCTGAAACTGTAAACTACTTCTAGGAGCATTCCAGGCACTGCTGCTACTACAGAATCCCTAGAACAGCCAGGGCGATACAGATACCAGCTTACAACACCTTTAGCAGACCATTTGTGATACCTCCTCCTATCCTCAGCTGCAGGAAAACACAGTTGTGAACCGGCTGCTTCAGACCTGATGAGAACGCCACTCATCTCAATGGGGACAGAGCCTTCATTTTGTACGGGAAAGGTAAAGACAACTGCTCAGACCCCCAAGCAAGCTACTGTGCCGATTCCCCACTGTGCTAGCAAGGAACACATTGATAGCAGCCTTTAAACTGCAGCTCCATGCTCACCAGCGTTCCACAGGGAAGGTCTGGCTGAACTCCCTTTTCCTGGGACACTACTGTAACAACCAGTTTTTGTATTCTCACACTAGTGAACAGCTATATACTCTTATTTTCTGTTAAGATGTTGTAAATAATCTTTGCAGGAATTAAAGAAAAAAGGCACATATAAGAATACATCACATCTCCCCTGTTGTAACTTTAGGACCAGACTGAGCAGATCTCTCACTGGGTTCTGCAGTGGTCACAGCGCAAGGAAATAAAACATGCAGTATAGCCCTAAGACAAGGCACTACATGCACAGTGCAGCCTGTCATTAATAAAACACAGGTGTTAGAACAGAGGCTTGAAATATTAATAAATGCTTCCAGAGACAGAGTGATGAGTGGTAGACCTTAAAGTTTCCTTACTTTATTAAACAATTCCAGGGCACAAGCTGTTTTCCACACACACAGCTCTGGGTCTGCAGTCACTGAACAGAGGTGGGGACACTGTGTCTGGACAAGCACAGTGCTCTTCAGCGAGTGCTGCAGCCACACGTGTGCAGGGCAGCCAGCACAAACAGACCCCTCTTCTGCAGCTCCATCTGGAGAAGGAACTCCCGGCTACCCCAACAACCATACTTTAATATCATGCCTTTGTTATGCAGTGGGTCTGTTTCTGCTCCTAAAATAAGGAGGCAAATAGGGAGTAGAGCATCAGGCACCGACTGGCACATATTCCGTTTGGAGCATGTCCACCATTACTATGAATTCCACTGTAAAGAGAGGGATATCAGTGTTGGCAGGTAGAAACTCAAACATAAAAGTTCCTTAGATATGAGATAGCTAAAAAGAATTTATAGTTCAAAAACCTAACTGAAGTTCATTAATCCTATGCCGATAGATGCATCTTAAAAAGAGAAAATTCTGAAGTAAAAAACTCAAGTTAATGCTGTTAATAAATTAGATTAAAAATAACTGTTTAAAAAAAGTTTCCATTTTCAGTAAACAGGTAGACTAAAGAGATGTTATTTAGAAGCAAAAAACCCTAAAGTGTCAGTTGTATACACTGTATTAATTATATTTCATAAATGCTTTATATTACTCTGTTAGAAGAGCATAAAATGTAAACATTTCTTGGCTTTCTCCTCGTTAGTTTGAAACATTCTACTCACAGTCTATGCATGATCTTTGTCAGGTATCTTCTATGACTGAAGACTTGGGTTTAGCACAAAACAATTAAGAACTATAACAAAAAACCTAGAAAACTATTGTAGCCTAACAGTACTTTCGCATTCACTTGATTTATTTAGCATAGCCACAGAACAAGTAATTTGTACATTCAGTCACATTAAAAACAAAAGGAATTACAAAGCAGTCCACATTTAATCTAAGTGCATTCCTTTGGAGTAACACAGTTCCTTTTGCTTCACTTGTATGTCTTCATATGCCAAAGGCCATCATTTAAATAATGGATATTTTCAATACCAATCCCTTTGTTAACCTTCTCACTGTAAGACAAGGTATAAAAGTATTAGTCAGCAGGTTAAACATTAAAGCAGTAAAAGACAACAAGTGGCAATATGGTATTTATCATTGAACAGGCAGAATCTATCACCATAAGGTGGAGAAGAAACAACATTTGTTGTTACACATAACCACACTGCTGTATGATAAGGCGACATTTCCTTCCAGGCTGACAGCAACCACTGCACACCAGTGGTTTCATATTACCAGTATTTTTTAACTGGTTCTTTGTTCCTCTCACAAACCTGCTGCTGCTTTGTTAACAGTCTATCAAATCAGTCCAGCAGTTGTGAGTGCCCCTCCTTCCTGCACACAAGGAGGTGGGACACCAAGCAACGCTGGCATGCACAATGTGACCAGTTGCGGCTCCAGCTGTGCCACTGACGCAAGGAACACCGGCCATCTGCTTTGCTGCTCCTTGCAGGACATCTGGCTGCTTCCCAGAGAACTGCAAGTGCTAGCTTTACACACTAAGGACTTGCTGCATGCTACAGCAGTTGGAGATTATCCCTCTACAACTTTTGAGTCGTATCAGCAGGGAAATACCATCTGCTGTAGCTCCACCCAACCTGCACTCATCTTTTCTCCATCTGACTATTGCATGGGAGTCTAGCTTCCTCACAATAAGCAAGACCTTCTGGAGCTGAGAAGAGGCTTGATTCCCCTGCAGAATGTAATTTATTGCACTCACGCTAGAACATGCCATTACCCTGACAACTCACCCGAAAGTAAACAGGAGGAAAAAAGGCTTATTGGAAGTAATTAACATGATGTACTATACTCCAAACAACAGAAATCACACTATTTCAGCTTTTAGCTTTATAGCATTCTAACATTATTTTAACAGACTACACAGATAAATATCATTTCATTTATTTCTCCGTGCATTTTTTTTCTCCTTTCTATTACTGCTTCTCACAGGAACTGGATTTTAGATTATTAGATTGATGAATCTGAACACGGGATTAGGATTAGAGATATTCCAGGTTGAGCAGGCCGCACATGTCAGGACAAGTAGCTATTCTGAGCCTCCTGAAGAGGCTACAAGCATCCCGAGGACTGCACGAGCTCCTCAGCATGTGAAGCAGGCCCAAATCTGTGTGACCGCTGTGCCACTCTGCCCTCGTCCTCACTAACGCTCTCCGGCTCTGCCCTTTGCACCCCTTAGCACCTATGACAGGGCAGTGACCCCAGGCACATGGCCCACCTGAGAATTATCCTCAAGAAAAGAGTGACTTGTTTTCATCCCAGTCACCTTTCTCACATGCTGCAAGGGGCTGGAACCAAGCAGGCCAGACCTGCTGGGGGCAACTTGCATCTTACTGCTACAAGTCATTGAACTTTAAAAAAAAAAATCAGAAAAGAATTTAACTTAGTCCTGTTAACGTAGCATTTTGAATGCTAAGGACAATTACCATTCACTGCCTTCTAATTAACATCCTCCTGGTCTTCTCCAGTAATTTTCACTTGATGTTTATCCCTCGCATGGACACTTCACAAGAAGCTTGGCTAAGATATGCATGTCAGGCAGGAATGCTGCATGTGGGAACCAGGCGAAGACAGACAGAAGGTCACAGAGAAAAGCCTGGCTGGTCAACCAAGAGCCAGCAGGACTTTAATCTCTGCTATCCCTGCAAACAAATGCACTTCAGTGTTTTCGGCCCCTCAATTCAAATGATATCTCTTGCTCAGTGCAGCTAGCAAGTACTCCATGTAGCTCCATTATTGTTCAATTGCTAAACAATTCTTTGGTCAGCAAGATCTTTGAGAAAATATGATCAGCGAGGCAGAAATATTAACATTCAAAGGTATTGCTGATGTTGTATGTTTAAAAATCAATATTCACATAAAAAAGCTTTGGTAGATAAATAAGTAGGGAAGATATTCTCTCTTTTCTTCTCTAGATTTAATATTAATCAACAGAATGAAGGTCTAAATAAATTCTGTATTTGAAAGAAATGTGCTGCAACAGAGATTCAGAAACCTTGGCAGTGGTGCTTCTACTCCAAACTAACGTAGGAATTATGACACAGGACAGATTATATTTCAATTTTTAAAAGACTTACATGTCCTCAGCTGACATCTTCATTACTCCCACACATAATGCATGTTGCTTTCCCTCTGCCATTATTGCCTACAAATCACTGCTAAGGAAAACAGATTTAACTATTTCTGAAAAATAAAAGCAATAACATTAGAGAAAAATTACTTCTCAAAAAAGTATGAAAAGGCCTAATAGAACTTTGACCTTTTAATAACTCTAGAGCACTGGCTTTTAGGGATAAGCAAAATAACATGCTGTATTGAGCATGCGAAAAATCAAGCAGAGAACACAGAACGACGTCAAACAGCAATTACCTTAAAAAAAGTGTGTATGTATGTATATATATGTGTGTGTGCACGTGTGTGTGTAGTTATATATATTTATATACATATATATATGTATATATCCAGCACTATACTTGATTTCTTTGTGCCAGACAAGGAGATGATAGTCTCTCCCTTTCAGAACGGGGTTATAACTACAGAGAGGTCTATTTTTAGACCCCAGAGTACAAAGGAATAGCAAAAAAATACCCAGAAAAGTGTTGAAATCAGACGCGTCTTTTGTAAAGCTCAACAACATGAGATGCTAACTGCTAATCCTTCCCTACAGCATCTGACTAACAACAAAAGCAGCAGAGTTTGGGATTATCAGGGATGCTTTTGCTCGTGGTTCCTTTCTCAGTAAGATAATAGGCAGGAGTGAATTAGAACACACAAGTTCATCAGATGCGTGGAGCAAAGTCCTGACTACAGCAAAGTTTGCCACAAACCTCTCTTCACATTCAGTCAGAACAGGACCAAGTTCTTCTACAACTGTAGAGGTAAAAGACTAAGGGAGGAGTGCACAGATTCCACTGTACCTCATTTCTTTGCACAATTCTGCATAAATTCATAAATGGCCTCCACCTACCCACTAGTGGGTGAAGCAGGAACAGTTATTGTGGGTTTGGAACACCACAGTAAGTGGAAAGAATTAATAACAAAGTTACTTGCCAAAGTAACGTTACATTATCTGCATGTCTTTTCAGGCTATTAGTTATTCTGTGAAATACTGCTACAACTCAGGGTAACTTGCATTATCCTCAGTTGAGAAAACACAAAGACATTCACTCATCTCGCAGCAAGCAGCAATTCATCCTTAAAGGATACAACAACTGTATCAATGGCAGCAGGGTAAAGTTTTGCTCCAGGAGATGTCAGGCCAGGGCACATGATATTTGCTCCACTTAGTACAAATTTAATTGCTCCTTTATCGACCTGCTGATGTGGTAGAATAAATGGATCTAGGAGGGGAAAAACACAGCGTTACAATGAGTATGTTACAACTAATATGACAATATGAACATTTCTTGACCAAGTCAGACTGGAAGGGGTAGACGGATAGAGTGAGGAGTTTGAGAAGCAGCTACAGAGCTCCTGGGCATAGTACTGTCCCCAAAGGACAGGACTTCTGTTTTCACCATTCACGTCTTTTTTCCTCAGAACCAAAGATCAATCAAAAAACTAAGCCTCCTGCAAACATCTGGGGCCTCTACGCAGAGCAACAATTTCAACAACGTTCTACAAATTAAAACAAGCACTTAAGTGCCCACATGCAAGGAGTCTTGAATACCCAAAAATACAGGTAATAACCTCTTAAAAATATAATTTTAAGCTTTTAAGACAGAAAAGGCAAAAGACATAACTTTTCAAGGCTGACTGTCAGCGCTCACAGCTATTCCTCAAGTGTACACAACTGCTTGAATTGTGCAAAACAGCTTTCAAATATGGAGATTGAGTACCATCTTTAGCAACACCAGAGCTCATGAGAACCACAGCAACACCGTCAAGAACGGCAGCAAGTTTTAACAGGTTAAAACCATGCAGCATAAATTCTTGAAGGAGAAGCATAATAACAAGACACACACTAATGATTAAGCAATGTTTTCGTAGAAAGAACCTACTAGCATTTGAAGACAACAAAAGACAAAAAAAAGAGAGAGAGAGGGATTAAAGGAACATTGCAAGAATAAAAATATACAGCATGGGGCAAGAGTCCTAATAACAAGAAATTTAGACTCAGGTCTTAGGGAAAGCTCTCCCCCGAATTTATAGCACTTTGTGCAATTTAATTCTTAAAAAGTTTGGGTTGATTAACATCTTGCATTACAATAAATTCTGGACAAAGCAAAACATACAGGGAGCTGAAATATCAAAGCAATACAGTACATCATCTAATCGCAAATTTACCCTTAAGATCTATTCTGGAAACTATATATGCATGTAAGAAAATTCTTATGAATCCAATAATACAGAAGTCCTACTGATTCATCCAGTATCCCCTTTCACCCTCCTCCCAGAGCTGTCCTCACAAAACTTACATTTGTGGAGTAGCCTTAGTGTTGGGTAAAAAATCCCTTCTCTCTGCCTGAAGAACAGCAACTCCCCATTCACAGTGAGGATTTCTATATGTTCATGACTGCAAACAAACCAAAAAAAAAAAGTTATTTGAAGAACTAATTAACTTTTTAATATTTTAACTGTTTCAGTTCATTCCATCTGGTCTGTCTTAGCATCTAGGAGTTAAGACAGTAAACTGATAGGAAAGAATGGAACAAAAAATTATCCTGTAGTATGCCGTATTCTTCAACATTTGCCTCCTGCACATTTTCTTCTCATAAAAAAAGATATGCAGAAAAACATCCAGCAATTTTCTGTTTTCCACATCCTTCCCAATTCCATACAAGAGTAATATAAGAGCAAAAATACATATATACACACACAGACTACCCAAGATTTCAAAAAATGAAATCACATAATCACATTAAAAAAAAAAAAAATCTATTCATATATAAAAGCCTAAGGTTAGTGAAAAATAATGCTAGCAGAGGCTATCCAAATAAGGTTGAGCTTTTGTAGCCATAAAGCTGAAAGCTTCTTCCCTTGAAAGATTGATTGCTGAAGAACCCCCAAATGTGTTGTAGATGGGCTGACTACAAAGTGAAATTTTTGCTTCCTGCAAATGTCCTCCTAACAAAAAAAGCATAAACATGTGCTTTTATGGTTTGGTCATAATATGCACTGTTATAAGAAATAATACACACTTCTCAAAAATATTCAATTAATCTACTATAAAAACGAGTACACAGACAAAGCAATCTAAATACCTTAAAAGCATAAATTGAGATGAAAAAGTAAACAAAAAACAACAACAAAACAACTTACCATCTTACTATTTTGACAGGGTCCTTCTTTGGCATAATCTGGTTTAGCCATGGTTCAATAACAGGAAACTGATCTATGAGCTGATTCTTAATACCTTTAATAACCGATGTCTTCAGCTGGATGCAGTTTGATACATTCTCCTTTTCGTCAAATCTGTTAAAACAGAGAAAGTATTTTAAAAAAGAGGGAGGGGAAAGAAAAAAGAAGAAAAAGCAGAATTTGCTGCCAAGAGAGGCCACTCCTGGGCTGCGCATTAAGGAACGCGGGCAAGCTGCCTGCAGGGTGTTACTGCTGCCCAACCTCCGGGCCCAGGGGCTGTTCAGGGAGCTTAAATGTGGCCCCTGCAACACTGGGCTGGGGAGGGGGGGGCAGATACACTTCTCTAGCGGCCTAGTTTTACCTCAAAACTTGGCGCACACCCATAACAGAGCCTTTACTGCTCCTAATGTCACTTAACGGTCCCCATTCGAATGAATTAATAAGTAAATGGAAAAAAAAAAAAACAGGAATAAAGCCACAGGGACAGGAGCAGCGCCACGGGTGCCAGCGGAGGCGCCGAGCCGGAGCAGTGGACCTGGGACGGCGGCGGGGCCCGGGCCTGGGCACGGGGGGCGGGGCCCGGTCGGGGCGGCGGGCCCGAGCTCCCGCACTCACTTCTTGAACATCCTGGGGGCGGCGGGGGCCGGGCGGGCGGCGCGGGCGGCGGCTCCTCGCACGAGGCTCCCGTCCCGGCCCTGCCCTCCGCGCCAGCCGGAAGCGCCGCGCGCTTTACGGCCCGTCGCGCGCTCACGGCGCGCGCAGCCTCCGGCGGGAACTCCATCTCCCGGCAGCCCGCGCGGCGCCCCGCGCATGCGCGCTGGCCCCTCCCTCGCCACGCGCCCAACGGTCGCCCCCTGGTGCCGCGTGAGGTAACGGCCGCGCCGAGCGGTCCCGCTGGAAACGCGGCGCCACAACGGCGTCGCAACACGGGCTTTCATAGGGGATGACACACAAAGGCTCAGGAAAACTGGGATTAAAAGTTTGAGAAATTCACCCCAGACAGCCCGGCACCCTGCAGTCTCCTGCATTTATCTATGTTCTTCTAACCAGAAAAGCCTGTCTGCATAGTTTTAGCTATGACACAACTGCTTTAAACCTCAGCAGGCACCAATGGGTATCAGAGGGAAATATTTTATAGTGATTTCTCATTGCTGGTCCGTGCAATGTTAAAACATTCGCATTGACCAGCAAGCTGCACAGTTCAGATAACCACACAGAGGCTTGTGTGAAAGGGCAATATAATCCGAGCTACATCCCCACCAAAATAAGATCTGTTCCTGCGCTGAACATCAGTGCTTATTTTCTACCTAAACTTTCAGTCAGTTACACTAGGCCAGAAGATTCTTCAAAGGAAATAATAAAAATCATTTCTTTCCTGACCCATACACACACTCGATTTTACTCACAGTTTGCAAAAATTATCTTATGCCACAGCAGGTTACATCTAACTTGGGCTGCCAACACATTGCTCTCCTCACGACAGCATCTTCTCACACTAAACTAGTTGAACGACCTGATTTACCCCAAAACTACAATTAGTTTTTCATAATTAGTGGGTTGCCCCTCAAATAGGAGGCTAGAGCAGCCAGGGGAGCAGGGTCAGAGCGCTCCACCTCTCCTGCAAAGGACAGGGAACCCACGAGCAGGGCTGCAGCAGAGGCTCTGTAGAGAGCAGCATGCAACCTGTCTTCAAGACCAGCATCGTCCTATTGAGAAATTCACGTTTGAAAGTATAATCATTTTTTAAAGTATCTTTTTATTTTCCACAGAAGGAATCTCAGACGTGCCACTTTAAACATGCTTCAGACTTCTAACATTGCACTACATGTGCCTTTTCTGTTTTGCTCCTCGGAGGCACCTGTGAGCCGAGTTTTCTCCAGCTGCCCTATGCGATGCTGCGTGTCCCGGTCATGCAGAACGCGCTTCACATCTTCCCTCTTAACTCAGTGGTGCGGGAGAAGGAGATTTAGGAGCTGCTTGGCTGAAATCCTGGAGCTTGCAGGACTGTTCGGAGATCAGATCTCGGCATTAGAGTCCTGAATTCTGTGTTTCTGCCCTTCAGGATAAGCTCAGATACTTTTTCTCGCAAAAGAGGGCCAAGAGGTCATTTCTGCCCCTAAAAGCCTCTGAGTGCATTTTCAGCAGCAGCCGATGCTGGGAAGAGGAGCCTGGTTAGCAGCAGCAGAAGGTTGTGTAATTGCCTGGTTTTGTGGTTCATCATAGTTTTGCATGGGTGGGCACTGTGGTGTGAACCTACTTTCAGTTCCATTGATGTTCTTGATTGCAAAACTAAAGAAAAAAAAAAACAAGAGGCCCCCTTTTAAAGATGCTGATGACCACCTCCGAGACCGCTGCATTCTCTGTTAATAGTTATGTGGTGGCAGAGGGAATGGAGGAAAATCCACCTTCCTGCTTCAGATCCCGGCTGCCGTTGGGGTTGGTGGCACTGCATGCAGACACCTTTGCAGCCAGGGCCCTGGCTAACAGCAGCGAGCGCTTCGGGAGCAGATGTGAGGAGCAGTGTGTGTGAAAGCGCGAGACATGCTGTGGCAGCCGGTGATGATTAGCTTCAGCGACTCCGCTTGCTTCTTCAAGAATTTGTTTTTTGTTTTCTTTGGCAAATTTGCTGGCCAAGAACTCGGCAGGGACACAAGCGCTCTTTAGCAACTCATTAAGAGTGGGAAGCAATTGGAGCTCTGGGGAGGGCTGAGATCTGCAGGGAGAGGAACTAAATATACTGGGAGAGTCATTCCTTATTTTTCAACAGTGTGCACAGGCTGATGGAGCCCCTTGCATACCTTGAAGACCTGGTGTGGGAAGATACAGGCTCTGAATACCCTAGATCCTGCCCTGGAGAAGCCCTTTGCTCGCAATGTGTTTCCAGCAGGTTTCCATTAGAGAATCTCCTGAAGCAAGAGGAAGCAAGAGGTAAATCCACCGTTAGGTCCAACTCCCCGTAGGCTGTGTCTGCTACCTGAACTGAGAAGCTGGGAATTGCTCTGCTTTGTGGAGCAATTCTTGCACTTTGGGTGTGTTTCACTGAGGTTTGTGCCATCCAGTTCTGGGTACATTTGTAGCTCTGCTATTCCTGCAGCCTTGCTTCTAGTTACAACCTCTCCTGAAATAATAAACTCTTAAGATTAGAACTGGCATGGTGATGTTTTTCCAAATACTTGTATTTATATTCTGAATATATTTGGCTGTCTGGACCATTAGCTGTCCCAGCACTAGCAACCCTAATAAGGAGATGTCCCATTTTACCAGAGATGAAATTGAGACTGGTTGACTGACTTATGCAACACCACATGAGGACACAGACAGGAAGGGAAAGCCAGTGTCCTGCTTTGCAGATCTGCTTGTCAATAACTTGAATCCTTTTCACCTCTACGCATTGCAATGATCCAGGCAAAAAAAAATGCCCAGTCTTTCCATAAGCCAGCAAGAGGCTGCCAACTGCTAGTTTAACATGGGCTGTTTTCCTCCTCAGTGGGTCATCTCTCCACCTGGTGCCTGCAGGTCTGGATGGAGAAGGTTTAATGCATCCATCTGGGCACCTGATGGACGAGGGAGCATGATGCTGAGACTGGGAAGTGCTTTGAGTTAATTTTCCTTTCTCTCACGTAGCCATTTCCCACACAGTCCCCCCAGTTATGGTCATAAGGCTGAGAGCACTCAATATTTCTGTGGCTCAGCAAAGCGATGATACTTTCTTGAGTGCCTCGATTATATGTAATATAGGAAGGAGGAATATTCCTCTACCAAGGAAGTAGGTGGAGATCTGCCACCAGCCAAGAGAAGCTATGAAGTTGGGTGGTTCATTGGCAAAGCCTTAATCCCCAGGTTCTCCTGTCAGTTCCTGTGCTGTTGCCCAGCAGAGCAGAAGGGAGGTGACGTGGCCCTTCCTGAGGACCTCGGGGCTCCACGCTGAGAGCCCAAGCTTGCCAAGGAGCAGTCCCACGGCCGCAGTGCCACGATGCAACCCGTGTGCTGAGGCATCACTGCCCTCTGGGCGCGAGGTGCAAGCAACCGCAGAGCGCGCCCTGGGAAGTCGCTCTTCGTTTGCACCATCTCGCTGCGGCTTGGGGGCCCTCTCTGAAAACCGGCAGCAGTGCAAGAGGAACAGGAGGGTTTCATGCTCTAGATCTGCCCTCGAGCTGTGGCTCCTGGGGTGACGGTGCCTCTGCGAGCTCTGAGAAGTCCTGCACATCTGCCAGGGAGGCTGCTTCTACCTAGAAACAGCAGCAAATTTGTCCACAAGTTCAGAGGGTCTGCAGAATTTCATGCATATGATGTTCCTGGAAGGCCGGGAGGCATCCTGCCCACGCAGCAGGGAGAGCATGCACGGAGGCTGGAGACACCCTTCTCGGAAATGTCTCTCCTTATATAAAGGGCTTAGAGGGGTCATGGTGAGCCCTGTGCTGTGCAAAATTGCTCCCTTTGGCTCCTCGGAGGAGCCGGGGCAGGAATTGCTGTGTTCCCAGCCCCGAGCTGCTGTTGCGTCCCAGTGGCAGCTAGCAAGGTTCCCCCGGCCTCGTGGGGACACCCTGCATGGGGGGCGCTGCATAGCAATGAGGCTCTCGGACCTGTGGCAGGATGTGGTTTGGGTGCTCCCAAAGAGTGCGTGGGAGAGGATGCGCCGTGGTCCTCTCCTGCACAAGCCCCTTTCGCTCCTGAAATGCAGGCGACGGAGGAGCCTAGCGCGGGGAGACGCGGATGCAGACACAGGGCAGAGGCTGCGTGCGAAGCCCCGCGTGGCGCCGGGCAGCTCCGGGCAGAGCTGCTTTCCTGGGCACGCACTGCCTGGCGAAGGGCAGTGCTGCGCCAGGAGGCCGGAGAGCTGCCTCTGCACAGTCCTGAGCCCTGCGGTGAAAAGAAAAGCTCTCGCCCTGGAAAACACTGAGTTTGTGTCAGCCTGGCTACATACACACAGTTTTAGCTTTGTGCTCCCAGGGTTTTAGCTGCGTGGCACTGCCCTTGGCCATGTCCTCCCAGGGGACACATCAAACCCTGAAGGAAAGGCCGGCACAGAGCAGCGGCCACCGTCGCTGCCTCCCGGTGTGAGCCCAGGGCTGCTCCTATCTGGAGAATGCAATACCTCGTGCTGGTGCACCTGGTATGTAGGTGTCTACCCTCACCTGGCACCTCCCCAGGGGCTGCATGGGGGGCAGAACTTGTCCCCCAAGGCTGAGTTTGGTGTTTGGCATCGCGCTGCTACTGCCCTCCTCTGCCAAGGAGCCCCGTGGTGCCGAGGCCTGCGGCTCGGAGGCCGGAGGCTGCGCTGTGAGACTGTGTCTCTCTGGAGAGGGGCATTGGTGCAGAGCAGCCCACAAACCGTCTCCACGAGCTCCTCTGCTCTCCTTGTAGCTATGAGCTGCCTTGCTGAGGAGCAAGGGCCCTGGTGCATGGGATGCAGGAAGGGAGGGATGCAGGGAGGAAGGGAAGGGAGCCCG